GGAGTCGAATGTTATGATGCAACAAATGAGACAAGCTGAGGGAACTATTATGGAGCAGAAACGGGAGATTGCAGTGATGAGATCCTATATGGCAAGCGAGAAGTCGGCCGCACAGGAATCAGCAATACATGCAAATCAGATACACCGTGAGGCTTCACAACAGATATCAGTTTATCAGCAACAGATCAGAGGTATTGAATCATCTACATCTATCGAGAAGTTCAACGAAGAGGAGATGGTTCGAAGTCTGAAATCACAGTTGGAACATGCACTCGTCAAACGCCCCGAGATGTACTCGATGGAGGACTCCAGGGAGCAGCTGATGACGAGACTGAACGACGTTACGACTTTCGCAGAGCAAGAATCGAAAAGAGCAGAATGCTTGCTACGCGAGAAGGAAGAGATCATCAAACAGTATGAATCCGACGTGTCGAAGAAGAACCAGATGATTGCTATCGAGGGTGGTCATCGTCAAGATGTAATCTTGGAATTGGCCCAGGTCAGAGAAGCAAAACAAGAAGAACGGTGCACGATGGACGAGAAATTAAAGAGGCCGAGTACTGGAAAATGACAGCTAAAGGAGTGTATGACGAGTACCTCGAGGAGATGCGCGAACTTCAGGGACAACTGAAGGATCGGGAGGCGACAATCAAACAAGAAGAGAGTTTCGTTCGTCAGCTCGATGCGGATAATGAGGAACTCAGGACACTCAAGAAGCTGGAGATACAGGAAGCCTCGAGCAGCAAGGATGAACATCGTGAACGAGCAGTAGTGAAACGCGCTGAGGGAGGACCCCAAACTAATTCGACAAGGGAGGACAAGAAGGTGACTGGGTTATACCCGTCATCATCATCTAATCTGATCCCTAATTCGTCGCTAGTGCCAGGTTCGATTCTCTTTCCGTCTTTCGGTGATCCAATGATCGATGTACACCTATCACAGATGCAAGGGGTTGTTGGGCATGTCCCACAATCCGCTACTACGACTGGTGGTAATGGAGGTGGAAACGACGGTACT